ATCCATCCACCCATCCATCCACCCATCCACCCATCTATCCATCCACCCATCTATCCACCCATCCATCCATCCATCCACCCATCTATCCATCCACCCATCTATCCACCCATCCATCCACCCATCCATCCATCCACCCATCTATCCATCCATCCATCCATCCATCCATCCAACCATTCATCCACCCGTCTATCCATCCATCCATGCATCCATCCACCCAAGGCCTCTGCTGCAGTGACACCTTTCAGCTACAGACAACAGTCACCCTCCCTCCCCTTCGTTCCGTACCTCCTCACCCTGCCCAATTGCTCTCCCCTCTCACCACTTCCAGGCTAAATGTTTCCTGGTTTATTTAGCAGGCTGTTAAGAGCTTGGGTCCTATAGCCAGACATGAGTGTGCATCTTGGTTCTGCACTTCCCTGTTCTGTGACCTTGACTGAGTTACTGAGATTGTCTCTGTGTATTGTGTATTATTGCCTATGTCCTACTGGGACAGAGGCCCCTGCAAAGCAGGGAGTGTGTCACTGTTGTGCCCTGCTCTGCCCCATCCTTTGGCAAATATCTACCAAACGCCTGCATAGGAAGTGAGAACAGCCAGGGCCTGCTCCAAAGTTTACATCTTGTTTGAATCCACAGGTAAACCAGTAAGTAAAACATTATTTTAGCCAGGAAGAAGCATCATAAAATACAACAGGGTGCTGGGTTAGAGGAGCAGTGTGCTCAGGGAAAGATTCTCAGAGGAGGTGACTTTCGGGCCAGAGTTGAAGTCAGGGGAAGGGTGTCCCAGGCCTGGGCCATGGCAGGGCCAAAGACTCAGAGGAGAGGACCGTATTTCAGAGCAGAAAGAGCCGGTGTGAGTAGGCTGTGGTCAACAAGACAGGCTCGGAGCGTGCGCTGGCGATCGGAGGCAAGCAGGGGCTGAATGGAGCAGGACTTTTAGACCGTTGTAGTGGGAGGCAGGCGAGTAGCCAGATTGGTACGATCTATTGTGACAAAAACACCAATCTGTTGTGACAAAAACACCGCTCTGTGCTGCTATGTAGAGAATTCATAACCGGGGATTAAGGGTATGTTGTCCAGAGTGAGTGAATGAATGAATTTGGCCCATGCTGAGCTCTTTGTTTGTTGAGCACGTGCTGCCCTCCCCCATGGTTAGAAGCAAGCCAGCTGCTTTTCCGATCAGGAGGCTGCTTATTCTTGAATTGAAAACTGACCTGCAGCTCCCCAGACAGTAGCCCTAAATTACCATCCCCAGCTCCTCTGGGTAATAGGGACAGTGACTGCAGCCTCCAAGTGGCACATGGAGTGGACTAAACAAAGTGACAATGGCCAAGCCCACTGGCCTGCGAACATGACCTGGGCTGTCCCCTTCTCTCCGTCATAAGAGGGTGGGCTGCTCCTTTGAGCCAGGAAATAGCAAACATTAGAGGTCAGTCTTGCTGGGGACTTTGGGCAAAGACGTAACCTCTCCGGGCCTCAGTTCCCCCCCTTGAAATAAGGGAAGGAAGATCCCTAAGCTGGTGGGGAGGGAGGAACGTGAGGTTTGAAGCCAAAAGTCTGATTTGGAAGTCATCAGTTACTGTGTAATTTTGGGGAAATCGCTCAGCCACTCTGAGCCTGTTCTTCGCATGAAGGAAAAAATTGTCACAGTCTGTGCTCTACTTAAAGTTACATCGTAGTTATGAGAATTAAGTGGTTGGGAAAATGCTTTGTGAACTGTCAATTGCTGTAAAAAAAATGATATGTTGCTTTTAACTACCTTGGATTATTTTGAAAACTAATGAGAAATTAGTTGTGAACAGACTTAAATAATTCCTCTATACAACTAATATTTTGAGAAAAATAATACTCTAGGGCTCAGCTGGATGAGAATAAATGTATGACCAAGAGCGGCGAGGAGTGTGGTTATCGGACTAGAAAGCTCTTAGCAATATGACAGTTATTTAAAGTACAGCCGAGTAAAAAAAAAAAATAGTAATAATATTCTTGTTTCTTGGCATTTAAAAAATGGCGAGAGGAGGAAGCTCAAATTATCTGAAGTCTTGGGGGAGCCTAGTTGGGGCCCAGGGCCATCTTGTTCTAAATGCTAGGCCCTGATTCATTTCTTTTCCCCATATGAGGCTCCTGTGGAGTAAGAACAAGTGCCTCTAGGGAAGGGAGAGCCAGGGGAATGTAGCTCTTGTATAAGCCTGAGCACCAGTCCCTCTGTGCCTTCTTGTAGCACCCATCTGGCAGGCATCTGGTGGGGCACCACAGTAAGATGTGGAGGACGTATACGCCTGACCTCTGGTGCCCAGACTGAACCAGCAAGAAGATGCGGCAACCGCAGCTCAGGGCACGAAGAGTTGCATCCAGAATATGAAATGAGCCATTCCACACCAAGTCCCCGAACTCTGTCTTGCACATGGGGAGTACTGGGTAAAGGGGCTACTGTCACCTGCAGGGACAAAGGCCCAGGGAATGAAAGTGCTCCACAGGCTCCCCCGGGCTAACTGGCTCTCTCTCTCTCTCTCTCTCTCTCTCTCTCTCTATCTCCTGTAGGAATCCTGCACCGTGCCACCCTATGGACCCAAGGGCTGGTTTTTCTGGTTTGCTCCCCCAGGGTGATTTACATAATTCTTTAAAGACTCCTCCGGAGCCGGAAGCCGAGTAACCTGTTTTCAGACTTAGAGAGAGGGGAGCCCCACGGTTGTTTCTCCAAAATCTGGGTAAGTATCTTTTAAAGTTTCTTTTTCTTCAGACCCCTTATCGTTATTTTTTACTGTTTTGTTTTTACCGGGGATCAAACTCGGGTCCTTGCGCTTTCAAGGCAGGCGGCAGAACCACTGAACTAAATCCCAGCCCCCTGATCTTTTTTTTTCTTTTCTTTTCTTTTTTTTGAGACAGGGTCTCACTGTGTAGTTGAGACTGACCTGGAACTCACTCTGTAGCCCAGGCTGGTCTCGAACTCACAGCGATGCTCCTGCCTCAGCCTCCTGAGTGCTGGTATTACAGGCGTGCACCACCACGCCTGTCTGATCATTATTTTTTAAAGTGCCTTAATTTGGAGCTTATGCATCCATTGTCTGTTTCTCGCGATTGCTTGTAGCCTCCGTGAGGGGTCTCAGCATCTACCTGTCTCATCATAGTCACTGCTGTGTCCCCAACGTGTAGCATGGTGCCTGGCACCTCATAGGCAACTGTACATTGCTTATGAAGTAAATAAATGGATAATTTCTAGTGGGGATGAATATTTATTTACAATTTACTGAGGCCTTTGAAATTTTACACAGACAACCTACTTTTTTAAACTTTATTTTAAACTTATTTAGACATGCAGGAAGTTATAGAAACAGTACAAAGCAGTCCCTTGTACTCTCCCTCCACTGCCTGCGTGACCATCCCCTTTCCAGGTAAGAAACGCCTGGCCTGGACTACTCAGCCCTTCACGGGTAACCTTTGCTGACTTCCCCCCATCCCATGTCTTCCCCACCCCACCCCATACCCACCCAGTCTCCACATCCAGCTACACCTAACATCTTTCTGGCTCTTGAACGTGCTCTTTTGCCTCTGTGTCTTGACATGTGCTACCCCTCCACCCCATGCCTGTCTGATTCCCTGGCCATCACCTTCTCCAACGAGCCAATCTGGGGCTCTGCTTCCCCTCTTAGAGCCTCCCCATCACAGCATTCAGCCTTACTCATTTGTCATTTGTTTGCCTGTTCCTCCCCTCTCCCACGGCTTCCTCTGCTGCTCCCTGCCTCCATCCATCCATCCAACCATCCATCTATCCATCCATCCGTCTATCCATCAGTCCATCCACCCATCCATCCATCCATCCACCCATCTATCCACCCATCCATCCATCCACCCATCCATCTATCCATCCACCCATCTATCCACCCATCCACCCATCTATCCACCCATCTATCCATCCACCCATCCATCCACCCATCCACCCATCTATCCATCCACCCATCTATCCACCCATCCATCCATCCATCCACCCATCTATCCATCCACCCATCTATCCACCCATCCATCCACCCATCCATCCATCCACCCATCTATCCATCCATCCATCCATCCATCCATCCAACCATTCATCCACCCGTCTATCCATCCATCCATGCATCCATCCACCCAAGGCCTCTGCTGCAGTGACACCTTTCAGCTACAGACAACAGTCACCCTCCCTCCCCTTCGTTCCGTACCTCCTCACCCTGCCCAATTGCTCTCCCCTCTCACCACTTCCAGGCTAAATGTTTCCTGGTTTATTTAGCAGGCTGTTAAGAGCTTGGGTCCTATAGCCAGACATGAGTGTGCATCTTGGTTCTGCACTTCCCTGTTCTGTGACCTTGACTGAGTTACTGAGATTGTCTCTGTGTATTGTGTATTATTGCCTATGTCCTACTGGGACAGAGGCCCCTGCAAAGCAGGGAGTGTGTCACTGTTGTGCCCTGCTCTGCCCCATCCTTTGGCAAATATCTACCAAACGCCTGCATAGGAAGTGAGAACAGCCAGGGCCTGCTCCAAAGTTTACATCTTGTTTGAATCCACAGGTAAACCAGTAAGTAAAACATTATTTTAGCCAGGAAGAAGCATCATAAAATACAACAGGGTGCTGGGTTAGAGGAGCAGTGTGCTCAGGGAAAGATTCTCAGAGGAGGTGACTTTCGGGCCAGAGTTGAAGTCAGGGGAAGGGTGTCCCAGGCCTGGGCCATGGCAGGGCCAAAGACTCAGAGGAGAGGACCGTATTTCAGAGCAGAAAGAGCCGGTGTGAGTAGGCTGTGGTCAACAAGACAGGCTCGGAGCGTGCGCTGGCGATCGGAGGCAAGCAGGGGCTGAATGGAGCAGGACTTTTAGACCGTTGTAGTGGGAGGCAGGCGAGTAGCCAGATTGGTACGATCTATTGTGACAAAAACACCAATCTGTTGTGACAAAAACACCGCTCTGTGCTGCTATGTAGAGAATTCATAACCGGGGATTAAGGGTATGTTGTCCAGAGTGAGTGAATGAATGAATTTGGCCCATGCTGAGCTCTTTGTTTGTTGAGCACGTGCTGCCCTCCCCCATGGTTAGAAGCAAGCCAGCTGCTTTTCCGATCAGGAGGCTGCTTATTCTTGAATTGAAAACTGACCTGCAGCTCCCCAGACAGTAGCCCTAAATTACCATCCCCAGCTCCTCTGGGTAATAGGGACAGTGACTGCAGCCTCCAAGTGGCACATGGAGTGGACTAAACAAAGTGACAATGGCCAAGCCCACTGGCCTGCGAACATGACCTGGGCTGTCCCCTTCTCTCCGTCATAAGAGGGTGGGCTGCTCCTTTGAGCCAGGAAATAGCAAACATTAGAGGTCAGTCTTGCTGGGGACTTTGGGCAAAGACGTAACCTCTCCGGGCCTCAGTTCCCCCCCTTGAAATAAGGGAAGGAAGATCCCTAAGCTGGTGGGGAGGGAGGAACGTGAGGTTTGAAGCCAAAAGTCTGATTTGGAAGTCATCAGTTACTGTGTAATTTTGGGGAAATCGCTCAGCCACTCTGAGCCTGTTCTTCGCATGAAGGAAAAAATTGTCACAGTCTGTGCCCTACTTAAAGTTACATAGTAGTTATGAGAATTAAGTGGTTGGAAAAATGCTTTGTGAACTGTCAATTGCTGTAAAAAAAATGATATGTTGCTTTTAACTACCTTGGATTATTTTGAAAACTAATGAGAAATTAGTTGTGAACAGACTTAAATAATTCCTCTATACAACTAATATTTTGAGAAAAATAATACTCTAGGGCTCAGCTGGATGAGAATAAATGTATGACCAAGAGCGGCGAGGAGTGTGGTTATCGGACTAGAAAGCTCTTAGCAATATGACAGTTATTTAAAGTACAGCCGAGAGCTCTGGCTCTCGGCTCTGTCTTCCGCTTCCTGGTGGTGAGCGCACACTGCGGTCCTCTCCGCCTCACAGAGTCCACGAGGACAATGCTGTCAAAATCCCGGCCCCAGAGCCTGGCACCCAGTGACATCTCTGTCTTATTTATTGGCCTTTGTTATTAGTGACTGCACTCCGTGCTGTGTACCAGGCAGCAGCTAAACGTTTCATCTGTTTGTTGATTATTTGATGCGTTCATTTCTTGTTCGTTTGTTTTTGGTACCAGGGATAGAACTCCAGTCCCTACGCTTGCAAGGCCGGCAGCAGAACCACTGAGCTCAATCCCCAGCCCGATGCGTTTATTTCTTTAACAAATATATACAGCATGCACCCTGTGCCCAGGCCTGCCCGCAGAGTACGGCTGCTCCGTGGCTGTTACAGGCAGGATGTGCGTGTACAGTTCCACGCGTAGGTGAAGGCACCTAAATGCAAAGAGGCTGATCTGTTAGGTGGAGGTGCCCAGATTCACGCCAAGGTCATTCTGGCCCTGACCTTGCATCTGTGTCCTAGATACCCTGTCGCTGAGGCTGGCTCCCCTCCCTCCCTGGATTTGTCCTGTGACCTGCGCCAGGGCCCTCTGCCCCACGGATGCCTGGCTTGGCTTGGCTTGTACCCTCCCTCCTCCTCCCTGTGCCCTTGGGAAGGAAGGAAAGAATGGAGGGCGGAGAACAGTAAGACCCTCCCTCGTCCCCCCTTCATTCACTGAGGTGTAACGAACACAAAGAGCACAAATCTTAAGTATACAGCTTGTTAAATATATTTGCACTCTTAAGCGCCACCCAGGTCAGGTGAGATAAACGTGTGCCTCACCCAGAAGCCTCACCATGCCCATTCTGAGCCCTGCTTCGCTACAAGTGACCTCTTCTGACTTTTTTTTTTTGGTGCCAGGGATTGAATTCAGACCTTGCGTTTGCGAGGCAGGCGGAAGAACCACTGAGCTAAATCCCCGGCGACCTTTTCTGATTTCTGTCACCATGCATTGGTTTTACATGCTCTTCCACTCCATGAGAACAGAATCCTGCAGTTCTGCTTATGGTGCTGTTTGTAAGATGCAGTCGTGTTGCTGTGGTTATCCAGAACTCACTCTTTGTCATCACTGTATACTATTCCACAGCATGAGTATGATACAGTTCATTCAGGCTCCTGTGGGTGGACATGGGGGTGGTTTCTAGTTTGGGACCAGGGTCTTCCCTCAGTATCCAGAGATTGGTGATAGGGCCACTCTCAGATACCCAAATTCACCAGTGCTCAAATCTCTCATACAAAATGGCATAGTACTGACATAGTATTGCCCATGTCCGGAGTGTGCTTTAAATCCTCTCTAAATCACCTGTAATATTTGTACTAGCAACTCTCTCATCTCTAGGACAAAATATCCACCCACTACTTAAAGGAGAAAGTTTAACGTGGCTCCTGGTCTGGGGGCTTTGGTCCACGGTTGGCTGAAACAGCACAGTAAAGGGCGTAGCAGAAAAAACCCTCAGCCCATGGCGGCCAGAGGACAGAGAGAGAGAGGAGGAGCCGAGGCCAAGAGCAAACCCTTCTGGGTCACAGGCTGAGGGACCCCGTCTCTACAGACTAGGGTCCACCTCTCAACACTGGACCCTTCCGGAGGACGTTTTAGTCCTGAACCGTGGCCGTACCTGAGCACTCTGTAAAGACGTAGTTCTAGTTTATGGAATAATGACAAGGAGGCGATCTGCAGTACTGACCCACCTTTTTTTCCTGAATATTTTTGATCTGCAGTGGGTTGGATGGGCAGGTGCGGAACCTGCCAAGAGCTGACCATTTTGTGGGTGGAGCTGCTGTGAACATTCGCGTGTGTCTCTCCCGGTGGACACCACCCTTGCTTCCCAGTAGCAGAATTACTGGGGCAAAGGGAAAACACATACTGAATGTCATGGATGTTGCCAAGCCATTTTTTTATTGGTTCATTTTAGATATACACAATGATAACATCCATCATAGGGAGTTTGTACCTGGATATGATAGATCTGGCTTCTTTTTTTCCTAGTTGCCTTTCCTCCCTTCAACCCCTCTTCCTCTCTGCTTCCCAGTAGCAGAATTACTGGGGCAAAGGGAAAACACATACTGAATGTCATGGATGTTGCCAAGCCATTTTTTTATTGGTTCATTTTAGATATACACAATGATAACATCCATCATAGGGAGTTTGTACCTGGATATGATAGATCTGGCTTCTTTTTTTCCTAGTTGCCTTTCCTCCCTTCAACCCCTCTTCCTCTCCTTATTTGCAAAAGCTTTGTTTTTGTTTTTTCCTTCTATTCTCTTTTTTTTTCCTTGTCCTTCCTCCTCCCCCTACCCCGTTCCCCTTCCCATTTGAACATTTTTTTTCCATTTCCCACTATCTATTACACATTTCTGTCCTTATTTACACTTTCGGTTTCTCACAATAGAGAGACAATGCAGTATTTAAACATGTGTGTCCAATTTATCTCCTTAGGAGTAGGGTCTCAAGGTCCATCCATTTAGCTAGAAAAGTCTCGAGCGTATCCTTCTTTATGGCAGAGTAGTACTCCACTGTATAAAAAATCCACATTGTTACCCATTCATCAGCTGATGGCCATTGGGGCTGTTTCCAAGGTTTAGCTGTTACAAACAGTCAAGTCCAGCCATCTACTGGTTATACAAACGTTCCCTCCCCGCCGCAGAGGTGGAGGTTCTGTTGGCTTCTCCTCACCAGCATTTGTTGTCAGTCTTTTTAGTCGAAGCCTTTCTAATGGGTGAGTGCTGGTACTCCTTTGAGCCTTTAATGTCCGTTTATCTCCTGATTGATGGTGTTGGACCCCACTTTATGCACTTACTGGCCATTGAGATGTCTTTTATGAAGTATCCATTTGAATCTTTTGCCCATTTTTTATTTGCGTCTTTTCTTTTTCATAACGATTATAAGAATTGTTATATATAAGAATTTCAAACCCTTTGTTGACACACATATTGAAAACTCAGTCTGGGATCTGTGTTTTCACTTTCTGGAAGCTCTTTGTGGTAGCAAAGCTTTCTTTTATGGCCTGAGAGTTTTGTGTCCCCTTCTAGCATCCTTTGCACCAGGAAGAGTTCCTCACTGAACTTCTCTCCTGCAGGGCTGGGAATGGCCACATGGAGCAGGCCAAGCCAGAGGCAGCCTCAGGGCCCCAAGCCAGCTGCAGAGGGGGAGCCCCACGTGCCCCTGTGCCAGGAGCTGACAGAGGCCAACCGCTTCACCTATGCTGCCCTCTGTGGCATCTCTCTGTCCCAGCTGTTTCCAGAACCTGAGCAGAGGTGAGTCTTCTGTCCCATGGACAGTCAAGCTTCTTCAGGGTGAGGGTGTTTTTGGTTTTTTTGTTTTGTTTTGTTTTGTTTTCAGTAGTAGGAATGAATCCAGGGCCTTCACACTAAGCAACATCCCAACACTTTCTTTGTTTCTTATTTTGAGACTGCGTCCCTCTAAGTTGCCTAGGCTAGGCTCAAACTAGAAATCCTCCTGCCTCAGCCTCCCAGAGTTCTGAGATGACAGATGTGCACCAGCCAGCGGGTTAGTTATCGCCAGCCAAGCTGCCTGCCAGGCCCTCAGGCACTATAGAGTCATGTCCTCACCTATAAGGGACTCAGTCTGGTTGGGGATAAAACATGTCTTCCTTCGGTTATTCACTCATTTATACCTTTGCCAAGCATCTTTTGAGCACCTACTGTGTCTGCGCATGGTTTGCAGTACATGGAGGGCATAGCAAGTAAGTCAAGGAAGACACTCACTCTCTCTCCTTGAAGTAAGACACAGTTTCTTAGGGCATACGAGATCTATTCATTCATGAAACATGCATTTGCCAAGCATCTACTGTGTGGGGGTGCAGGGCATAGCCCTGCGAGAAAAGAAAGAAGAGCGAGGCCTGGTTTCTGCCCTCCAGGTGCTTATGTCTAGGTGGGGCACGCGCCTGGCTGATTGCAGCAGTGGTGGACAGAGATGCCTGAGGGCTGCGCTGGGATTAGATGTGGCGTTGGAGCAAAACGACGGCAGGTTGGAGACTGATGTTATATTTCACATCTGTCATTGCTGGTATCTGCAGTACCTGTATTCCAGTGTCCTGGAATCCTGTATTTGGAGTCAGAACAGCAGGACTGTGGCTCACGTGCTGCCTTCTTCAAAGTCTTCGGGGTTTCTGGGGCAGTGGTGAGAGGTGCAGAGAGGTGCAGAAGGTACAGTGTTTCCTCAGGAGGAATGGGGTTGACATGGGAATTGGTTGGATATCGGGGGTGAGGCTGAGGCAGGAGCTCACTGCAGCCCCGAGCCTCAGGCAGGGAGGCCAGGAGTACAGGAGGCCAGGGTTGGTGTTGTTACGAAAGGAATTGGCAAGTGACACTCAGAGAAGCAGCAATGGAAGTAAAATAACAAAAGTCTACTCCAATGACGGGGGTCGATCACACCTAACGGCAGTGCCCTGATTGACCCCGTACTAGGCTATAACTCCTTCTCTTATAGGGTGTAACAGCCTTGATCTCATTCAGGTGGTCTAGAGTTATCTATTCTAGGGGAATAGATAGGGGAAGGGAGTGTGTCTGGTCAGCAAGGTTAACAATGGTTGTTTTCCCTTACACAACTTTTTAGGGAGACCAGATGCTTCCAGGGCCTGTTGATTCTGAATGACAAAGCAAAGTAAAAAAAAAAAAAAAAAAGCAAAAAAAAAAAGAACGAACAAAATTCATCTAGTTATCTATTCTAGGGGAATAGATAGGGGAAGGGAGTGTGTCTGGTCAGCAAGGTTAACAATGGTTGTTTTCCCTTACACAACTTTTTAGGGAGACCAGATGCTTCCAGGGCCTGTTGATTCTGAATGAAACAAAGCAAAGGGCAGGCAGAAGTTATTTTACACCGTGACATTTCATAGGGTTTTTTTTGCTATTAAAGTGTTTTCTCTCAGTATGACTAGGGCGGTGAGCAGCAGCTTGGAGACAGGTGATAATGGGATGTTCCTGCATCTGACGCTCACACACACACACGCTCACTGGGATTTAGGGGTGTTTATCTTTATCTCACCACTGGACGGACCGCTGAGCATTTCCGTCTCGGTGGGTGTCCCCTCCAGAACGCCTTTCCTAGCCTGCCCTGGATCAGGCTGTGCCTCCCCATCTGTTCAGCCTCGTGCCGTATCTGGGAAGCCTTGTCTTTCTGGAAGCTCCCCCCTAACCTGATAAGGCTGCCAGAGAAACTCCCACCCACTAAACTGGTACCTAGCCAAGAAGAACTGTGTGTTTTTTCCTTCTGTAAACAAATATTTATGGGCGAGAATTGAGCCAGGCCTGTCCTGGGCACTACCTAGGAGGCACTAGGAGAACTGAGCTACTGTCCCATGTCCCCCCTCCCAGCCTGTGTCCAGGCATGGCTCTGAGCCTAGGCAGCTGCTGGGTGCTGTAAACATTTGGCACGGAGGTGGGCGGGGGAGACTTTCTCCTGTGTGGTTTGAGACACAATGTTTTTTTTAATTCCCCCCTTTTTCTGGTATCAGGACTTGAACTCGGGATCTTGTGCTTGCGAAGCAGGTGGCAGAACCACTGAGCTAAATCCCAGCCCCTAATTTCCATCTTTTTAAAGGTCAAATAGGCTGTTGGTTCTGGTTATCTGCAGAAAAAGCTCTTGGCAGTTTTTACCCACATGGGGCTTAAAAGCAAACCTCTAAATATTTATATCTTATCGATTTTGTAAGCCTCACAGATTAATTGCTCCTTACAGCTAATTCTCTTTACACACTGGAATGTTGTCCAGTGGTACAGCTTTTTCTTAGCATGTACAAGGACCTGTGTTTTAACCCCAGCACTGCAAAAAAGAAAAAAATTATTAAATGATTAATTTTATGTATTGAAAATGAGAAATTGGTAGGGTACAGCAGAGATCAGCAAACTCCTTTGGCCAAGGATCCGGTAGTTTAGGCTCTCAGGCTGAATGGTCTGTGTCACTCACCTTGCTACAGTAGCCCAGAAGCAGCCATAGGCTGCTGTATAGGAAGGAGTACGTGTGGTAAAACTTCATTAGTAAAAACAGGCCGTGGGCCAGATTTGTCCCCACAGAGGCAAATGGGGTCAGAAAAGAAAGTGAAATCCACATCACCTAAAACTGGTTGTGTTTCAGTCACCACCGTCACCGAGTTTTATGTGGGTGCCACCATTTACCTCCATGACCACGGTTCACATAAAACCCAGGGCCCTGGACAGGCCGAGCTTGCAGAGCCCGAGGACCTAAGCCAGGCCTGTCTTTCAGTTTCTTCTGCACAGAGTTCATGGCAGGCCTGGTGAAATGGCTGGAGTTATCCGAAACCGTCCTGCCAACCATGACAGCTTTTGCCAGTGGCCTGGGAGGTGAAGGAACAGACACGTTTGCTCAGATTTTGTTGAAGGACCCCGTCCTGAAGGGCGACCCATCACTGATCACCCAGGTACACTCGCAGCTGGATGGTGGCTGGCGGGGCCAGTGGAGCAAGGCAATCCTTTGCAGATCTGTCTAAGAATCCCATCTAGTGAGGTGGATATTCCATCCTAATGTGTGATGGTGATGACCTTCTCCGATGGTGACCACTTGCTATCAATGGAATGCCCTTGTGACACTTATGTGCTCACCCCTTTACAAGAATTAGCGCATTTAATTCTCAACTTCCAAGATAGGTAAGACAGGTTGAATATTTCTTCCAAAATGCTTGAGACCGGAAGTGTTTCAGATGTAGGGGCAGGGGTTGGGAACATCGGCATATATTATTGAGACGTAATGATGACGGATGGAACCCAAGTCTAGACAATCAGAATCAGCACAAACAAAAAAACTTTTTTTTTTAAGTGCTTAGGGGTGGAAACCTGAGCCTCAAGCATACTAGTCAAATGCTTTAGACATCGGACCCAAGTCTAAACATGAAATTTATGTATATCACACTATATACCATATGTACATAGCCCAAAGGCAGTTTTATATGGCATTTTTAATAATTGGATGCATGAAACAATTTCATGACTTAGAATGTTGTGGCATCAGATTGATGCTCAAAAAGTTTCATATTTTGGAGCACTTGGAGTTTGGGTTTTTTGAACTAGAGATTCTCAACCTGTGTGATTGTCCGCATTTTATAGTTGAGAAAAGTGAAGCACAGAGAGATGAATAACTTGGCCAAGCTCCCACCACTTAGAAGAGGTCAAGCGGGATTTGAACCGCGGTGGTGGTCCGACTCCAGAACCTGGTTCGGTCCGCTGTGGTGCCTCTGTGGCCCTGGGCATTTCGTGTACCTGCTCTGTGCACAGCTGAAGCCGGCAGACGCTTGTGATAGGCGCTGCTGGGGAGCTAAGTGCAAAGGGAGAAAGCAGCCCCTTCCACTCCTTCCCTCATGGGCCTGAAGCTCCCACCTTTGTTTCCTTCTTTGCGGGTTTGTTGTCTGAAGCACCGGTTTGCAGAAGGGCAGAGGGGTTTCGTGTGTCTTGATCAGCACACGGGAGGGGTAGATAAACACCTTCCCCTGAGCCGCCAGACTGCCCGTCCATTCGCCACTGATTCCCATTTCCTTTCTCCTCAGGACCTTCTGAGCTTCTCACTCCAGGAAGGTAAGTTGATTTGCTAAGCTCTGTAAAATGTGGGTGCCAGAGAAGCCCAGTAAGAGGTGCTCCCACCTCTTACCTGTTTGTAGTGTGTGACCCAGGCTGCCGTGGCCTTTTTGGCAAGGGAAGGGCGGGGAACCCGGCGTCAGCTCTCAAGTCTGGTTCCTTTCCCGTCACCCACCACCCTGCTATCAGCCATCGCCACACCCTCCTACGTGACAGCTGGAGTCTCCTTACTGGTCACCCCGTATCCCGAACGACCTTTCTCACGGCTCTGTGACCAGGGCATGAGCCAGTTGTTCAATTTTCTAAAAAAAAAAAAAAAAAAAAAAAA